AAGGGCGGCAAAGCTCTCCCTCAAGAGTTTTAACACTGCTGCATTCCCAGGACTCGAACTCGAGACCACTGGTTAAGCTGGAAGAGACCCAAATCATCTCATCCAAGCGCTCTTGGGTTGGGTCACCTTTTTAAACAGATAATAATAATTGTAATGAGAAAAAACAAATAAATAAAAAAAATTATATTAATAAATGGTTTTTTTTTTTAATTAAGCTCACCAAGGTTGGCTTGTTCAAGATTTTACGAGAATGTGAACTTTAATCCGGCCCACCCACCGAACCAACCGGCCGATCCTACCCATATTCGAGAAAAGCAGACAAAACTTTTGTATACTTTTGTTTTTTCACAACTTAAATTTTTTTCACATACATATGTATGTTTTGCCATGCTATTTCATTTCTTGTGTGATGGCAAATTTTTGTGTTAGGGCCATATCATTAGGTAGATATATCCATTATATTTTTCTTAAAAAAAAAAAGTACATTTATATTATGAATGTCGTATTCTTTTTATTACGATCTCGAAAAAAATACTGACTGTCTACTTAGGTATGTATAACAGTAATTTTCCGAGTTGTTTATAGTTTGAACAAATTAAAGCACTAACTAAAAAAAAATATCGTACAACACACATTGCGATATTTCCAAAAACATTCTTTCCAAAATTTATGCGTGTTGATCCAACGATAAAAAACTCATACATACACTTGTCGAGTCGAATTTTCCGAACTAATTTTTCAAGAAAGTGACTATTAATGGTCTCATAAATCCAAAGAAGGCTATTTCAAGAACATTTACTTCGTACTACATTATTGGAAAACAAATCCAAATTGGATTCATGTGTGTAAATAATGCCGACACCAAATTTATGCTACGTATCCTTGCCATCTAACATACTATAATTAATTAAATATCTTCCAAACCTTAAATACCAAAGTCCATAATTTTTTCATAGCTACACTGCTAACAGCGTTGAATTTGTTATCCCCTTGCTAGAAAATACATATACGCAGCACATGCTTCTCCCAACACAAGAACCAAAAAGAGGGTTCAAAAATTATTTTTTTACATTATCATTTAAAAAAAATTCTTAGTTAGACTGAAAATTAAATGGGTTTAATTAATTGATTACAGCAGCTAAGTATATAGTAGGCCTGCATTGGTTGGTCAAATGTACAACCGCTCATCTCGCCTGCTCGTGTGGCCATAGACAAAAAGAATGTACACTTTTAATCTCACAATATCAACTCACAGACCAGTTCAAAGATTCATATTTTTAACCATTCTCGTTACGGAATCATTCCGAGATTTGTAACCGTTAGATTAACTATTTCCAACGATTACATGAACGATTACAAACCTCGAGTGAATGGTTCCTTGACGGGACCGTTTCATCTCCCCATATTTTTTATGTTATTTTTGGCATAGGTTCAGTTACTAGTGTCAAATCAAACTAGACGGAATATAAATTTTCAGTATGAAACTATGGTTAGAAGGATCGACCCCATTTTTATTTTATTTTTTTTTTTAAAAAAAAACCATGTTTACTTATATTATAAATGCTTTTTTTTTTTTTTTTATTTATGTTGCTTTTAGAGTATATTGCTTAAATTTTGAAAAACTATTTCTCCTAAAAAAATGAATATGTTTGCGGAGTAAACTGATTAAAAAGGATATTGAAAAAGGGTAGAGTATATATCTTGTTGCTCAAAACATATATTTATATATTCATAAGATAAAATAACAAATTAAACAACACTCCCTCACTCACTCACTCACTCACTCACTCGATCTCCATTTTCACTTCAGAATGGAGATTGCTAATCAAACTGCAGGTACAAAAAAACTTAACTACAATCTATAGAAGTTGAAACAAAATTACAATACAATCCGAAAACCATAACCGGAGAACAAAACTTGCCGTTCGATCGGCAACCACGGCTATGATGAACACTCTCACTCATTTTTTTTTTTTTCCTTTTTCTCGCAAATCAAACTTTCGTATACATTGACGATCGATCGAGCATCGTCACATAGCTAGTAGAGCATCGACACTCGAAAAATCGCACGTGTCTTGGAAGTAATCCTCGACCCCAAGCGACCCGAGTTCTTGAAACGAATCGTGAACGATATCCCCAAAGCTCGGGCCTTGGATTTCGAGGGCCGGGAAATCGTCGAAACACATCTTGAACTCGTCTTGATAGGTGGAAAAGCCTGGCCCATCGTCGAACAACACGGGTCCATCTTGCGGTTGGAAGTTGAAGAAATTGTCCAAGAAGGGGACATCCATCGGGAGGTAGTCGTCGATGATATAATCGGGAACCGTGCTCGTTTCGCCTTCACACTCCTCGAACTCCCGAGCCGGTTTGTTTGGGTCCCGGCGGCTCGGTTCGTCCACCGGCTCCGTGAAGAAATCGCCAGAGCACGGCTCGTCTCCCTTGACCGGAGATTCGCTCGACTGGCTACTGAGTCCCGTCTGGTCGGTGTCCTCGCCTGACCGGGTGGTTGTGAACCGGAGGACGGAGGTCGGGGACGGGTGGTTTCGGTTATGGGAAGACTCGTCGCCGGAGGAGTAGCCGGAGGCAGCGCCGGACGACTTGTTTTCTGGCGAAGGTGTGACGAAGTTGGTGAGGGCGTCGGGCCCACGGAGCTTGATGGCGGCGCTATCGTAAACCATGGCAGCCTCCTCGGCAGTGTCGTAGGTCCCGAGCCAGAGGCGGACCCGACGGGAAGGGTCACGGATCT